TCCTGCGGAGTGCAAAAGAGCATTTTTTAAAATCAAAATTCAACTCTTCACGAATATCTAGAATCACCACAATTCTGCTTCAATTACTTTGTCTTTCTTTTTTTTCTGAAACTATATAGGAGACAGAGTTGAAATTTGACTTAACATTGATGAAATAGTATGTTCTGATAAAGAAGATAGTTGGATACTCCAAAGTGATATTCTACTACAATAATTGGTACTCTAGAGTATGTACAAAAGAGCAACTCTTTCAATTAAAATTCAATTCTTCACAAATATCTACACCCCTGATAGAATAACATTTTTCAATTCAATGTTTTAAGCAGATGACAGATTTTTTCTCCACTTGTATGTCGTTTTCTCTGCAGCTATAGTAGTAGATGTTGAGGCTGATCAGGGGGGAGAGGAAGGAGTCTTGAAGACCTACATGTATCAAGATAGGAAATAGAACATTCGGTCTTCCAGCTATGTATTAAGATAGAGAAAAGAATTGCTAAGGTTTCAGTGTATTGGTAAGAGAATGGTAAGAAAAACGTTTCTTTTTGGGGTTTTGTGTGGAAAGGTCTCGCAAAAATCTCGGGGCGCGTTATCTGATTGGAAAAAACTAATTTTTAATTACGTGTAGATCGTGGAATGAAGGTCTGTTATTTATTTTTTTGGTTCATGGTAAGTTAGTGGTAAGAGTTTTTGAGCAAAAATTGCGATTTTTTATCAAAAAAATTTTCGAAAAAAACTTCAAAACACGGAAAGATTTGTTATAATTCGACAAATTAACTAATTTATTAGATAATCCTACTTTTTAAAAGATCTACCTGAATCAATGCTGTAATCTACTGAAAAATCGAAAGAAGTCAAGGTTTTTGTAAAAAAAAACTGCAAAAATTTTAAGTAAATGGAAAAAATTGCCAAAATTTCAACTTTTTGGAAAAAAATCGCAGAAACCTCATAGTTTTGGCAAAATTGTTGTTGCTTCTGATCTAATTGAGAAAAGATATCTACTTACAGAGTTTGAATTTGAGCTCTTATTGTGTTTTAGTTGGCACCATGTTGATACAACGATACAAAATTTTGAATAAAAAAATGAATTTTTCCACAATTTTTCTCAAAATATTGATATACGCTAAAGTTTACCATGTTTGAGCTAAAAAGCGGGTTATATAATGCTCTCAACACTAAAAAAAGCTCATAAAAATTGAATCAATATTGAAACTTCCGGAAAATAGTGAAATTAATCTTAATTTTCGAGAAAGTAAAGTGAAATTTAATCAATTTTAACCAAATTTTTCCATTTTCAACCTTTTATTTGGGTAATTAGGTCGATTTTTGTCCAATTGGGGGAGAAATTAATTAAAAATCTCAATTCAAATGAACAATAAAAGCACCATTCTATGAAAGTTCTAGATCAAACTCCTCCGTTTTTTCTCAATGATTTGCTCAAATTTGTACAAAAATTATAACTTGTGAAAAACTTTTCATGTAATTAATTAAAAATTTCAGATTAATGATGAAAATTTAAAAGTTAACTGCTGAAACTGATTAAAATTGAGATAAATTTTCTTTAAAAGTGTATTAGATATTTGATGAAATTCAACAAAATCTTCTTAAAAACTGATGATTATCTCTCTGTTGCTTTTAAAACATAATTATTATGATTTTTGTGTAAAAAAGTTCTATATTTAAGGTTATTATTGTTTTCTGTATAATACATGCTTTCGCTATTGAACTCACTTTGCAAGAGATTCTATTCAGAACAGGGGAATTTAGGAGGAAAATATTATCAATTGAAAGAACGTTTTGCCCGCAGAGATGAAACTAGAACTGATACTGTCTGATTGTTGCGATGTAATTTGTAAATATTTGCCTTAAGTTCTCTTGTTCAGTTTCTACAGTAAAATCTTTAAGCAATTTTTGCAAAAAATACAACTTTTGAGATCATTAACTATCACTTTTCTTGCAAAAATTACTAGTATATTGCTTTTTATTCTTGATTTTTGTCGGAAGTTTTCTCAAAAATGTCCAAGTGAGAGAGAGAGAGAATTGGGCTAGCTAAAGCATTCAAAAGCACATTTTGAAATTGGGAATATAAAGGTGTGTTTTAACGTTGGGCTTTTTGAACAAACTAAGAGCAGCCCTTTTGATTATAATCTGAAAACCTAGTTCCTAACATCTGCAACATCTAAATTTGCTACAAACTTCTAAAAAAGTGCGTCTCAAAAAATAGGTTTAGCAAAGGAAATCAAAGCGCAAACTGGATCAATTGTAAAATTTTCCGAAGTTTATTAAGCAAAAAGTTCTATAGTTCTGCCTACTTTTCTAATTGAAGAAGAAGCTAACCAGAACAAAATTTTCACTGTGTGTCTAATTGAAGCTTTTCTTGTTAAATGTCAAATAATCAAAACTTGGTTCTGCTAAAGTATTAGTTTGCTTAGAAATCTTCAGCAAGCTCTATATTATTTTCTCAAAAATGTGTCCACATCAAATTTTTTCATACAAATTTGTGAAATGTAGATCTTGAAAGAAAGTTTTTTATTTATGCTTCATGTATCATTGTCCAAAAGATGTCGGATTGGATTTACTGTACAAAAATTATCCTCAAAACATCTGATTTTTCTTCTAAAAATATCAAATGAAAACAAATTTTTCTAATGAATTACGCATAAATATAAAACTTATCAGAAAAATTATCTCAAAACTCCTAATGAATTAACTTGAGGTTCTATCTCAATTTAATGTTTTCTCAGTTTCTGCTTCATCTACTATCTTCCAATTCAATCCAATTTGAACAAAATTTTACTTGAAAAATGAATTTTAGGTGGGAAAATGTATCGTTTCAACGAGCGTTCAATAATCCAAAGCAGAATTAATACCAAAATCCGTTTGCTAAAATCTTTAAATGATTTTATCAACCTCATAACTGTATATTACTGTTTCAAATCTGAAATACTACATTGAAGTTAATTTTTAGTTGAGAATGATGTATATCTTTATCTTGAACTTTTCAAATTTAAGCAAAAACATACTTTTTTTCATCTTTTCCAGGACAATTATCAGTTTCTTTTTTGAAGTCATCAAAAAAAAACAGTAGAAAACCATAATTCTTAATAAATCAAACCCCATTTTGTGCTTAACAACGCACTAATCTATGGAAACTTATACAAGCACTAATCAAGGAAAAATTCAAAATAGTAACAACACAAAACCTTTTAATTGGTCGATGCTCTATAAATATCCAAGTTTTTACCGTTTTTAAACAAAAACTTAACCACTCATCAGCGTATTTTATGCACTTTTATTACACATTTATTGCAACAAATTCTCCGCAAGGTTGCAACCAATGGAGTTTTTACTGCTGATTAAACGTTTTCGGATCGATTTCCATAGAAAGTTTCACGACAATTAAGGCTTGATTTTTGCTGTCTTTATCATCAATCAAAACCTTTGAATAAAAAAATAAATGACAGATCAGTTATTGTGATGAAAACACTGTATAAATTTCACTAGAGTTTTAAAAGTTTATCACAATTTTATAGACTTTTCAGATTCAGTAAAAATTAATATTCCAATTAATATCTAAGCAATATTAATTTTACCTTCTTTTAAAGCGTGTTTGGTGGCTGCTGAGCACATAATTCAACATCATTTTGAAAAAAAGGATGCTTCTTTTTGAAATGATTAGTGAGTTTCTTGCTGCTATAAGTATTAAAATTACAGTTCACACACTTCGAAACACCATAGGATCTACGATGTCTTTGTGTGTGTATTCTCTGCCACATTCAAGACATGCAACTCTTTCGTTTCTATTCAGTGACGGCAACTCAATAAGTAAAAAAGATCTTGAGAATAAATGGGAGATTTAGCCTTTCCCAAAATTTTAGAAAAAAAGAGCTGAATTGCCTCAAAAAATTGCCTCAAATTAGATCAGAAAAAACTATGTTTATCAAAATTCTCAATCAGTTATTTTTATTGAAATTTTCTAACATAAATAACATATAAATTTTACACCAAATTGAGATAAGCTAGGTTTCTTGTCTGGTTTGATTTTTTTTTTCGATATTCAATTGAAGTTTTGAAATTTCGATCAACATTTTATTGATTTGTTCTCTTTCTAACTGGAAAAAAATACCAAAGTATACTTTTTTTTGTTTTTTATTTTTGGTATTTTGTAGTATAAACAACCGGAAGTCTTTTAAATTTGGATAATCGATTGAAAGAAATACTGACAAATCTAGACTTTGTGTTCGTATCAAATTCAAAACAGTAATCAAAATAATGTTCCTTATCTTCAATTTTTGTTTCAAAGGCTCTTCCATTATTTTAATTTTTTACTGATCGATCACTCAATCCGAGTTAACTCTTCTAAACAAAAACATTGTTGATAAATTTGGCAGTACTCTTCTTTTTTGTAATCTCCTCTCCATCTTTTTAACAAAATCATTGAATTTTCTGTGTTTCTATACAAGTTAAAACTAATGCAATCTCCATCAACGTCATCTGTCCACCACTCTTGTAGTTTTTTGTACTAATTCATTTTCAAAATCTGATGAATGCCCATTTCAAACATTGAAAACACTTTCGATAGAAACATATTTCTTACTGAAACAAACAAAAAAACTTGAAACAACTCGAATTGTTGCATCATTTTTAATATATTCTGTAATCACCATAAGTTTTATTTAATTTCCTCAGCAATAACTGAAAAAAATAACTGATATTTGGTTAAGATTTTAAGTCAATTTCGATTAAATTGTTTGTTTTGTCAGACTTTTCCTCAGATATTCTAGCTCTAAATGTAAACTTCAGTGAGAAAAAACTGCTTTGATCAAATATTATGTCAATTACCAGACGCACAAAATATCACAAAGCGTTTCCGAGGTTAAAATTTATCAACAAACATAAAGTCTCCCAAAATTTAGGACAGTTCTTTGAATTCATTCAAAGTATAGTTGATATATTTAACTTGCTTCATGTCTTCATTTTTCCTTTGCAGTGAAGAGTCGAACCTGATTGTAGGGTGGCTTGTTCACTTTGTACGTCTTGATTGTGACACACACCTTCCTCATGTTGAATGTTGCTAGGTCATACACTCTATTACAGATGTCGAGCTCCTGATCCATAGTTGATTCTGTAACAGATTTGGCTTCATATATGGGTACGAGTCCAAGATATTCAGCATCGTGAATGACAGTATTCCAGGTTGCCGATAATGCTTCTCCTTCTTTTTCACTACGATAGATTTTTTCTGACTTTTTAAACTGTCCCAAATCATTAATTTTTAATTGTTGATAGGAGGGTTTAGAAAAAATTTTCTTCTTGTAGGTTTTTGGAAACAAACAAACCTCCCAATTCTTTTTTGAGTTTTTGAAAATTCAACACAGAAAATTCAATTGAGCTTATTTTTGAAAAGCAAACTGATCAGATGAGAAGAAATGAATGAAATGATTTTGAGATTGAATGAAAATGAAAGTAAGTGTCATCGTGATTTCCAAACATGGAAGTAGTACCAAATGTGGAAGGATTTTCCTTATATGGAAATTGCCTAGGCATTAGTACTACAAAATAAATCCACCATCTTCTGCAAAATCCATCAAGTTTAAACGTCAATTTTTCTCCTTTTTGTTTCCATCTAAGAAGAAAAGGGTCACATCGTCATACATATCTCTAAAAGTTAAGGCAGGCTCACATAATTAGACGCAATTTTTTACGTCTTACTTGGTTTTCCAGTAGCATCTCTCTTTGGTATTAGCTAAATTTACTTCAATGTACAGCAAACTTTGCTGCCCGTTAGTTGAAACAACAAGTCTGTTGAAACAAAAATTTTTAAAAAATAATCAGAGATTAAGGCAGTTTATTTTTGTTTTTATTGGAAGGGTACTAATGAATACATTTTAACGGTTTTAGACTAAAATTCTCGTTTATTTATTGGTACAACCAGTTAATTTCTCTTTCATCTGGAATTGAACTGTTCATACTCGAACAAACTACAACAGATATCATAAAAGAAACATCTATGCAAGTTAAGTGAAGTCCATCGAGAGTGCTTCAAGAATTCTTTTGATCAACACAATCCTTCGTCGGTCTCCGATATGATGAATGTGATCCACCGATACATATGATCTGAGAAGCGAAAATCCACGATGACATCGAATCCATCAAAGCACTGCACTATACGAAGTTACTTCTTTCTTCCCACTGATCATCGAAGGAAGTCTTTTTTAAAACATGGTAGCAAGTTTGCCCATGACACCTCACCCACGCACGAAAGAACAAGAGGTGTGAATGACCTTTGTTCACATTCTCTGATACATTGATTATAGCATCTCTTTTTCCACTTCGTGCTTCCGGTACATACTTGGCAGAGTACCAGAATTTGACTTGGCGCAAGGATTGAATACTCTTACATCAAAGAATGCCATCTCAAATCTGCCTCCCCAGACTACATTAGCTTTGTCGCCACTTATTAATGTTCTCAAAGCCAAAAACTCGCCAGATAACGCTCTAAATGCGGTTTGACTTCAACGTTAGAGTAAACTTCAGTCAACTTTTCCACTGTTAGGTCTCTCACTTCATTATGCCAAATAACTGGGAATCCGCCAGTAGAATAAGACAAGCAATGCTCAACCGAAAAAGTTTTTCATCAAACACAGTGAGCAGGAACACCTTTCAGCGGCCTATTATATCGCAAGCATAATGCATCCCAAAACGCTGCTTTATTCAGGCAAAAACCATGTTTTTTTAACGGCAACGTTGTGAGCCAGTTCCATGCGCCTCTTTCGTTAACCGGTTTAAATTCTCTTGAGTATGGAGTACTGGGTACTGGCGCGCCGTTCGTTCTCCTTCTGTATTTCAGTGGACAGAAACTGTTTTCTACTGAAATACAGAAGGAGAACCAGTATCGCTCGACAAAAGTTTCTCAACAAGAGGTTTACAAAGGCTCTCGGAGTCTTTGAATTTCTGAGCGTGGTCTGTTTCTGGGTTGATGATGTTCAAACCGCCCAGTCTTGCCGGAAGAACTAGCACAGATTTATCAATGCCTTCTGGTGATACTCTACCAATCAGCTTCGGCAAAAACTGCATTCTCATTTTGGTTTCGAGTTTGGTGGGACTACCTTTAATTTGATCTTGGCTACAGTCGATCACTCTCATGTGATCCCACTTCGGATTGAAATTATGCGTAAAGGCTGCCAAAGCACAGTGTGGCTGCGTCTCCGCGATCTGAGATAAACTCAAAGTTCACTTAATCATCTGACTTCATGAGAACATGTTTTCACTGACTTTTTTGCTGCCAATCAAGCATCCCAATTACTTGTGTCCCTCTGTTAAAATCATTATACCACTTCCAGAAAAAATACGCTCTGCGAAATCCAAGTATTCTTATGAAACAATAAACTTAGTCTTGGATGAAATCGGAAATGCCCATACTCCGGTCCGAGTTCTTTTTAACGCTTCCCACCATGACTTGAGTTGTTTAAGTTTTCCACCTGCATAAAGTCATCGGCATACCAAAAATTTCAAGAAGGTCATGGAGTTGATTAATGAGAGGTAACAGAGCTATACCATACCTTCAGCCCCGCCCTGAGTGGTTCCTTTTTGCGACAAAAGCTCTTCTCCGTCTAATAACAAGTACTCAGGCTTTCTGTAAAGATAGATGAGAAACATAGACATAGCTGGGCACTCAACATACATGTTGAATAAAGCAAACTGTTTGTTGAACTCGTTAAACACATTGCTAACATCAACCAGCAGCACTCCTTCAGTTTCCGACTTACTAAAATTAGACGTGAGAGCTGAAGCATTGGCGCTAGAAGGTCTTGCTGCTCCAAAAATGTTCAAAACACACCGGCGAATACAATCAGGTGTGAAACTATCAAAGAAAATAAAATGGAATGCTGCGTCTGATAAGTCTCGCTCCTGGGGTAAGACTGCTAACTTGGAGAGTTTTGGAGATACTGGGTGTTTATTTTTCAAGGGTTCGCTAACAGATAGTTTCACGGTGTACTCACATACATTTTTATCAACTTTTTCTCTTCTGTGAGATCATCTTATTTTACAACTCCAGCTTCTTGCCCATTGAGAAATCGCATAGCACTTGTAGTTTTTTCTTTCACCTTGAGCTTAGAGAACGAGCGATTAAGATTCTCAGGAATTTTGTTTCTCACTAGACACAGTTTACTTTGAACAGCCCTAACTTCTAATCAACACTTTTCCAAAGTTCTTTTCTGCGTTTGAGATGTAGAATATGCTCTTTGACTTCGCTCTTTCTGGATAATTTCTGAAGAAGAATGGTTGTCATGAACATTAATAGCTATGGTTTCATAACAAGATTTCCCAGAAAATGCAAAAAACCAGTCTACCAATTCTTCACTTGAAACCAATTTGGTTTCCATTGCACCACTTCCTCATACATTTCATCGATGACTTCACATATTTCTACGCGTTTGGTTCCATGTCAATTAAAATCAGCTTGTGAAGGCAAGGAAATGTAATCTGGCAAATTACGACGAGGTGACATATCTGGAGCATCTGACAAAGACACATTGCCCATGCTCTGAGCCGAACTACCGTGCATACTATAATGCTCGACGTCAAGAAGCCCAGTGGACCGGTTCTTTTGTTGTGAACAATTCTGTGAAGAGTCTGTTGTTGACAAGTTATGCATTTTCTGTGTCAAAGCAGTCAACATCGTCGATCTCTTCTGTACCATCAGTCTCACGAGTGAATCCAAAGTAGGTCTTTTCCCCATCACCCAACAGTCATTTCAACTACAGGCCAAAAATCAAGTTGTTTTAACCATAACAATCTTGAAAGCTCAACCATTTGTTGTCACGAAATGTGTGAAGTGAGGCAAAAACCAAATTGAAAATTACAGAGAACAAATTTAGCGTATCTTTTTAGAGTCAACTTCACTGGCAGACAGACGTGCGCTATTTTGAGTTCAAAAAGTTCTGAAGATTTACTTGAAATTGTTTGTCCGGTAGCATTGCGCTATCTAACCAATTAATGGAGTCTCAAAATTTTGTTCTTATTTCCTACACAACCTATCAACTAACTATTCTTTCAGAATAGCGGCAACAGTCAACAAAATCACTCAGGCACGCAGTACTTTGATTCTGAAAATAATATTTGATAATTTCAAAAATGATGAGAATTTAGTTTTGGTTTTTCGATCCATTTGGCGGTATGATAGCGTGTCCATTTGGAAATCTTGAACAATTAATTTATTATGAACATGCAAATGTCAAAACTCTATGAGCTGAATAGTGTATATATAACTTTTTTCTGAAACTCGACCTTACTTGCACTAAAGAAAAGTGAAAATTTTATCTTATTCTAGTCCATAATGGGCAGTTCTTGCACGATGGCTTAAGATTTTGTCAAATGAGTGGAATGCACGCACTTTTGGCGGCTTTGTCAGCAAGAACTTCTTCACCCTTTATTGTTCCTAGAGCTAAAATTTTGCAAACCCTTTTAAACAAACTTGCGTGAAGAAATTTTGCTTAACTCATTTTAGCAACGCTGATAATTGTTTTTTTTTTGTTATGTAAAAAATTCACTAGGTAGAATCGTCTGAGTGAGTTTTTATGTCTCACTGGTGCATGCAAAATTTTATTTGAAGCAATAGCTGTTTCTAGTTTTTTTTGCAAAAAAAACATTAACTTTTTTTGTATCAAAATAATTCACTGTTGCTGTGCTGATAAGGGGGCGCTGAAACATTTCCACCCAACGATTTTATTTGTTTGGGTTGACAGCGCAACGTTCACTGAAAACTTGTGGGTCTTTCGTTTTCTGCTCGCCGTTTTAATTGACATAGCGTAAATATCATGCATTTGTAGTAGCAAAACATAGATTTTAAAAAAAATCAGCACAAAATGTGTTTTTTGTTGTTTTCATTGACTGAATAGCTTTTAGCGAAGTCAATATTGGCTGACTTGCTATTATTGCAGAATATTTTGTAAAATAATTACTTCAAGTTTGGTCGCAGATGGTCGAAGTGGTTACTTCTATAGCAACGGATGGAACTTAGTAAAACAATTGAATATGTGGTTATATCGTGTTGAAATCCGCCAAAGTGAATTTACTCAATCCTTCACTTCGATCGACTGAAAAAAAAATATTTTCGTCGCTGCTAAATATCTAAGAAAAAAGACAACGGGAAGCAGGTAGAAAACCAAGATCCGCCCCCAAGGCTTTAGTGATAAGTGGTTAAAGAATCTTAGTTGAGAGGTTCCAATTCAACTCACGTAGTTGCATAGTTTTTGTGGCTGAAGTTGATTTTTATCATGCCTTTTTTGCGTTTTTGCTTCTATTTACCTGGTTTGCAGCTCTTCTAACCAAAATGTTTTTTAAAATGAAGTTTTGCCTCTGCGGAATTGAAAGTTTCAGGTTTAGCTCGCTCAGTTTTGTTTTTTATTTATCTATTGAATCATTTGCAGGAACTGTGTTGCTAATTTTGAAAGAATCTCTGGTTCATGTGAAATAACTAGCTGATTTATTCTTTTCGTGGGGGTTTTCAAAATGGAAGTTGGTATATTATTTTTTTCCAAAAAAATGAACAAAATATGATTGTGAACAAGGAATTTGCACAAGAAAAAGATGCCAAAGATTTTACTTACCAATAGCTTTATTTGTTTTTTTTTGTAAAATTAGGCGTTGAAAAATTGCGTTTTTTGATTACTGAAACACTTCGAACAGTTTGCGGCCCTGCGGTATGTTAATTTATCAACTTATTAGGACATTTATAGCAGGTTTTATTTTTCAGAAAAAAAAATTCCTGCGGAACAATTTGAGTTCTCAAATTAAGATCTTTTTGGTCTTTTAATGTCAAAAAAAAGAATAAAGTAACGCTCGCGGATTGCAAGTGATTTCCTAAAAACTGAACACTAATGATTTCTTTTTTGAACTAGACAAAATCAATTTTTCACAATTCACTTCAAATAAATTTTTTGCTGTACCCATTTTCCCAATATCTTAGCTTCAAGATAACAGTGACGTGCGCATAAATTTTTATAAAAGGGGAGCAGTTTTTGTGAAAACCTTGAAAATTTTACGGACCTTTCTTTTATTTTAGGTCGACCAATTTGATTTTCCGAGCTCTCCGAAAATACTATAAGGACCCTATTTTATCAAAAAAATTTCTGCGCCGCAGGCCACTTTTTCAAAAAACAGCGTATTTGGGCACTCCTTGTACAATTTTGACAAAAAATGCGTTTTTTTTTTGGCGCGCGCTTCCCCTCAAAATTAGTTATATTGGCGCCCAAAGCGCCTTTAGAAAAGTTTTGAGGTTGGTCAGCCAAAATCGGTGTCGCAAATCGGTGTCCAAAATCGGTGTTCTGCTTCATTGCCACTTTTCTAAATAAAATTTCACTAAAATGCCAGATTTAAGTGTATTGACCAAGCACTGGTATACATTTTTTTGCATGTTGCAACAGTTGAAATGGTGCCATATATTTTCATCATTGATTTCGTATTTTGAAATAAAAATTGTTGTTATTGTTCCGACTTTCGTCGAAAAATAGTAGCAAAATCTATCACTTCGTACTTTATGTGGCGTGTGAGGGGGATGATTTTCGCAAAAATTGTTTATTCTTTTGATTTATTTTTTTCGTGGGGGTTTTCAAAATGGAAGTTGGTATATTATTTTTTTCCAAAAAAATGAACAAAATATGATTGTGAACAAGGAATTTGCACAAGAAAAAGATGCCAAAGATTTTACTTACCAATAGCTTTATTTGTTTTTTTTTGTAAAATTAGGCGTTGAAAAATTGCGTTTTTTGATTACTGAAACACTTCGAACAGTTTGCGGCCCTGCGGTATGTTAATTTATCAACTTATTAGGACATTTATAGCAGGTTTTATTTTTCAGAAAAAAAAATTCCTGCGGAACAATTTGAGTTCTCAAATTAAGATCTTTTTGGTCTTTTAATGTCAAAAAAAAGAATAAAGTAACGCTCGCGGATTGCAAGTGATTTCCTAAAAACTGAACACTAATGATTTCTTTTTTGAACTAGACAAAATCAATTTTTCACAATTCACTTCAAATAAATTTTTTGCTGTACCCATTTTCCCAATATCTTAGCTTCAAGATAACAGTGACGTGCGCATAAATTTTTATAAAAGGGGAGCAGTTTTTGTGAAAACCTTGAAAATTTTACGGACCTTTCTTTTATTTTAGGTCGACCAATTTGATTTTCCGAGCTCTCCGAAAATACTATAAGGACCCTATTTTATCAAAAAAATTTCTGCGCCGCAGGCCACTTTTTCAAAAAACAGCGTATTTGGGCACTCCTTGTACAATTTTGACAAAAAATGCGTTTTTTTTTGGCGCGCGCTTCCCCTCAAAATTAGTTATATTGGCGCCCAAAGCGCCTTTAGAAAAGTTTTGAGGTTGGTCAGCCAAAATCGGTGTCGCAAATCGGTGTCCAAAATCGGTGTTCTGCTTCATTGCCACTTTTCTAAATAAAATTTCACTAAAATGCCAGATTTAAGTGTATTGACCAAGCACTGGTATACATTTTTTTGCATGTTGCAACAGTTGAAATGGTGCCATATATTTTCATCATTGATTTCGTATTTTGAAATAAAAATTGTTGTTATTGTTCCGACTTTCGTCGAAAAATAGTAGCAAAATCTATCACTTCGTACTTTATGTGGCGTGTGAGGGGGATGATTTTCGCAAAAATTGTTTATTCTTTTGATTTATTTTTTTCGTGGGGGTTTTCAAAATGGAAGTTGGTATATTATTTTTTTCCAAAAAAATGAACAAAATATGATTGTGAACAAGGAATTTGCACAAGAAAAAGATGCCAAAGATTTTACTTACCAATAGCTTTATTTGTTTTTTTTTGTAAAATTAGGCGTTGAAAAATTGCATTTTTTGATTACTGAAACACTTCGAACAGTTTGCGGCCCTGCGGTATGTTAATTTATCAACTTATTAGGACATTTATAGCACGTTTTATTTTTCAAAAAAAATTTTCCTGCGGAGAAATTTGAGTTCTCAAATTAAGATCTTTTTGGTCTTTTAATGTCAAAAAAAAGAATAAAGTAACGCTCGCGGATTGCAAGTGATTTCCTAAAGACTGAACACTAATGATTTCTTTTTTGAACTAGACAAAATCAATTTTTCACAATTCACTTCAAATAAATTTTTTGCTGTACCCATTTTCCCAATATCTTAGCTTCAAGATAACAGTGACGTGCGCATAAATTTTTCTAAAAGGGGAGCAGTTTTTGTGAAAACCTTGAAAATTTTACGGACCTTTCTTTTATTTTAGGTCGACCAATTTGATTTTCCGAGCTCTCCGAAAATACTATAAGGACCCTATTTTATCAAAAAATCTTCTGCGCCGCAGGCCACTTTTTCAAAAAACAGCGTATTTGGGCACTCCTTGTACAATTTTGACAAGAAATGCGTTTTTTGGCGCGCGCTTCCCCTCAAAATTAGTTATATTGGCGCCCAAAGCGCCTTTAGAAAAGTTTTGAGGTTGGTCAGCCAAAATCGGTGTCGCAAATCGGTGTCCAAAATCGGTGTTCTGCTTCATTGCCACTTTTCTAAATAAAATTTCACTAAAATGCCAGATTTAAGTGTATTGACCAAGCACTGGTATACATTTTTTGCATGTTGCAACAGTTGAAATGGTGCCATATATTTTCATCATTGATTTCGTATTTTGAAATAAAAATTGTTGTTATTGTTCCGACTTTCGTCGAAAAATAGTAGCAAAATCTATCACTTTGTACTTTATTTGGCGTGTGAGGGGGATGATTTTCACAAAAAAAATCAAATTAAGATTTTTTTTTTTTCATTTTATTTTATTACATTAATTTTTTTAAAATTTTATTACTGCTCCATAGACCCTAAAAAACAGCTGAACATTCAGGGCTTTGCACTGATACGAGCAGTATTGTTGAAATTGCATGCGATGGGGGGCTGAAGTTTTAGATCTTGAATAGTAAGTACCAAATATGTCCTTCTCGTTATGAAAGGATCAATATTATTCCTACTTCTGCCCCTGCCAAAGGTGAGGTTTTTCTGGAGTGAGGATTTTCGCGAAGCTTTTCATATCATAGATCCTGTGCAAAAAGGAGAAACCACTTCAACAACTTCAAAAATTCATAGATAAGAAAATCTTGGACATTTTCCTTCATTTCGCAAACGGCTGAAAATTGTTTTTACAAGCTCCCAAAACAATCAAAAAACAAAAAAACTTTTAAATTTTTGACAATACAATGTTTGTGAAGCAGATCATACATAAATTAGGAACAAAGAAGGTTGTCTTTTTGTTGAAAACATTGATTGAATAAATATGTTTCAATTCGCCATGTCCATATCGAAAACAGTTTCCAGATCAAGTTAAATAGAGTCACAGTTCATTTTTCTCGTCGAGGGTCGAAAATTTCAAAATAAGTTTTTGCTGAAGTACAAATTGGGCCAAGAGTCAAGTTCCTTCTTTTGTGACTGAGGCGTCCCCCTTTCTAGGCTTGTTTTTCCTGCTCAATGGCTGAAACAATTACACAAATTACTTTTGGGGAGCTTGGTTGGGCTTAAATACTTGGATATTTCAGGTATATAACTTTATTCACTATGATATTACATCGCATTCATGAGGGGAAAGACAAACATACGAGCTGTTCAACTTTATCGATTAACATCAATTATATGGTTGGTGTGTACTAGTTATACAGGGTTGTGATCAAAGAAGTATAGGGTTACGAGTTAACATCGCCGCGACTTTGAAAGTCGTGTGAAAACAAATCGCGCACCTCGGCCAGGGAAGAGGCATACTATGGGTCTAAGTGAACAATCTCACCCCTTACATCATTTTCTGACAGAGATTGTTCAGATTGATCTATTAAGGGGGGAGATTGTTCATATGGGCTATACTCTGTGATGTGAAATGGTGTGTGTGTATGGAGTGCTTACTCTCTTTGGTGGGAAGGGGGTTCTTCTCCGCCGTCTCTGTGGGTTTCAGCTTGCTCTTGTCGAAGGTGCTCACTTCACTGATATCTGGCTTGTCTCCCATTGCTGCTTCTTTTTCAATCCGTGTTGAACTAGCAAATGATCAGCAAAGTAAAGTTAAGAGTTTTTTCAACCCCTGATGTAAATTTTTTTATATTTTTGCAAAAAAGTACAATTTATAATTTTTGAAAACCACAAAATTGGCGTTGGACCAAGTTAGCAGTTGGTGTTGTTGGATCAATTTGAGCACTGGACTGGAGGATCTTAACTTGATCTATTTGGGGGAGGATGTTAACTTGATTGTTGGTGTTGTAGTCCAGAGCCATTTTTACCTAATTGTTTCTGTGTTATCATTCGTTGTAGAGGGCAAAGAGTCAACTGGTCATAGTTTTGATTACAAGACAAAATTAAAAACCCCTTGACCAATCCCCCCATCCCCAACCAAAGTTTTTAGAGTACGAACAGTTAAAAGCGGACTATTTTAGAGCTTAAATTAGTTTTTCAAATTAGATGTGATATTGTTTTACTAAAAAAAAACTTTTTTTGAACCAAAAAAGAACTTTATTATACTCTACTTACTTCAAGTAAGTGGCAAATTAAAATGAACGCTTTAACAGACCTTGCAGTTAAAGCGTGCTGCTTAAACGCAACAATTCAGTTATTGATTTTTTTCTGTTGTAAAATTGCGTTGGTAGCAAAAAGTAAGTTTAGTAATCTAAGTTTGCAATTAGAAAAGGCAAATTAAAAAAAATCTTTTCGGTGCATTTTAATCATGTTACTTTTTCACCTTTTAAGCTTTTGAAAACCAAAAATCTAATATAAAAACGGCGCTTGAAGATGCCAATATTCAAAGCTGCGATAATTAAAAATACCCATTTTCGTTACTGCGACGAAAAACTTATCTGAAGAAAAATCTTGATAAACACGTCAGTTTTTAATTTTAGTTTAGCAAAAGATTAGTTGGCTACTTATTTTAAACTTACCAATTGCAACGAGACCAAATTACAAAATGAAAGCTAGAAAATAGATCTAATATTGACTAATCATGTGAGCTTAGTCATTAAATAATTGATATATGGTTCTAAACGCAAGTTAGAAATAGGTAACAAAATATTAAGAGAGACTACTTTGAGATCGGGCTTGAAATAGAAATTTCATTTAGCCGCTCTGTTTCTTAACCGAAATTTATGCAGTATGCAGCTGAAAGCCAAATTATTGGCAATATTGGTTTAATCGGTCAAAAAAACTACTTTTTAGATCAGTTATAATTTGTTGACAGTTTTCGCGCGCTGCAATGAGTAAAATATGTATTTCTGACGTCACAAAATTCAGTTTTTGGTAGGTTAATGAACTTCGTTCAGATTTGCGTAACGAAAAGGATATTTATATAATTAGGCAAAAAGCGGACATCAAAATTAGTTTGAAAAGCAGCCGACCTCTTACGGAGAAATTTTGAAAGCAAAAGCTACTTGTTCAGACAGATTTCATATCTCATTGTGTTTTTTAAATGGAAAATAGATGCAAAACTTTGTCAAAATTGTCTTAATTTTTTGCAACTCTCTTTGTAAGACTCAAATAACTTGCGTAAAAACTCGATAAAAATCAACAAGATGTCATTTCACTTTTTCGGCTGGTTGAAATTTCGGCGTTGTTGATTAATCGGTTTGACAGCTCGATTTATTTTGTTTACATGAAATGTCTACGAACCCCAAGAACTTCGGGTATTTTCCACCAACCAACTGAAAATGGGGGCAGTAAATTATTACGTAACTTGAAGTGAGTGTTCGCTCGGTGCTGGGTGTTTGCCTACGTTAAAGTAAATGGGACACTTTGTTTAATCGGAATGTTTTATGAAGCTATGAATCGGATGGCACGGCCTTTAAACCTTGAAACCTGTTTTGTAAATTCATTTACCCTCTGATTTCTAATCTCAGAATGCGATAAGGTGAAATATCCTATTTACATGCTTTCACTTAATTTAAACAGTTGGCCTTAAAGGACTAAAAAATTGCAAAGAAGACAACTTGAATCTTTTTGAGAAGAAATTTAAACTAAAATCTTGCTTTCGAGGAAAGTTTGCGGGTAATTTCATTTATGGGCGGATTTTCGAAAAAAAGCTTGAAAATTTGTCCCATTTAAAAATCGTCGGCCAAACTGCTTCGAGGTCTCTCGAAACACTATAAAAGCCCTAATTTGTCTGCAAAAAAATCAGCGCCACAGCCAAGTTTTTGAAGGACACACACTATTTTGAAGCTAAGAAAAAAAAATGAAAACCAATTGTGATGTTTGCCAAAAAATAGCTTTATTATACTCAACTTACTTTAAGTGTGTGGCAAAACGAAAATGAATGTTTTAACCAACCATGACAGCCAAAGCGTGCTGTTCAAACGCGCCAGTTGATATATTGAAATTTTGCAGTTGCAAAAATAAGCTGCTGGTTTACTGCAAAGTGCTAGTAAAACAATTTCAAATTTACAAGCAGAAATAAGTTTTTGTAAGCTAAGTTTGAAATAGATTTAAAATTTGCTTTTTTTCTTTGGGGTGCTTTTTTGCTTAGTAGCTCCATGAAATATTCCACACCTACAAAGGCATGGCCGTTTGGTTGCTGTGCTTTGCTAAATCAATCCATTTTAAATTGGTTACACAATTAAAGTGGAAAACTGTTCTGCGACGAACTGTCGCTTTTTCAGATGCAACAAATTGTTGCCTGATTTTTCCAGCTCACCCAAGACACTATAAAAGACAGGGCCGGATCTAGGATTTTCTCGAGGGTGGGGCGGGCTTTCAAAAAATTTGGAAAATTGTGTGTCGACCCTTTGTTTTTTTTAGGTCGACTCAATTGATTTTCCGAGCTCTCCCAAAACACTACTAAGAGCCTGTTTTCGCCAAAATTTCTGCGCAAAAAATTTTCGCCAAAAAAACAGGTTCCAATGGTTAGGCACTTTTTGGAAAATTTTGACCAAAAAATCGCGTTTTTTTCAGCGCGCGCACCCCCCTCAAAACTAGTATATATTGGCGCCTGAGGCGCCTTTAGAAAATTTAACGGTTTGTAGGTCTAACATTGCATGTCGCAAAATAGTACCGAAGGGGGTGGCGAAGGTTTCATTGAGTCCCTGAATCGGATGAGGCGTCCGCCCCCCCCTGAATCTGCATTTGCAGAAACCCTTTGTTTTTCGTTAAGCGAAAGTTATTTAGAGACATAGAAGCGAATATGGTTTTAATCTTCAAATTTGAAAATACGGTTTATGCTTTAAGTATCATCCCTTAAACTCTACCTGGGATAATTAAATTGCATCTTTTCCCAAAACCTGGAAACCCTTGGCTAAAAGCTTTGAAACTGGATTTAATTATTCTACAGGCCAAGGTAATGACATTGCAACTCATTCATATCCCAAAGCTTTCTAATGCCTGGGGTAAGGAAGTTACTGCTCTTTTCAAACTTCTACAGCCCTGAAACAACGCAAAGGCAATTATTTTTAAAAATCTGAAAAACCAGCCCTCGGGAAAAAAACGTTGCGGTTTTTTCTATAACACTAGATTCTGGGGATGAAGAAGTTGCAAGTTTTTCCAAATTTTTACAACTTGAAGTAATAATGTTGCAATTTTTTGTAAACTCAACAGCCCTGAGATAATGAAAAACTGCTGCCCTGGGCTTACAAAACTTCAACTCTACCCAAATATCTACAACCCTGATGTAAATAAAGTTTCAACTCAAAGCTTTCAACAAACAACGTTACTTTTTTCACTTGTATGTCGTTTTGTCTGCAGCTATGTAAGATACAGGGTTGAGACTTGACATATGTTTGATGAAACAGCGTCTTCAGATTATCGAACTACTCCCTCCAACAGGAGTTAAAACCTATTGCAATAATTTGGTAATCTGGAGTACAAAAGAGCAACTGTTTCGATGAAATTTCAACTCTTCCCAACATCCACACCTCTGATGCAAGAAAACGTTTCAACTCATTTTATCACACAAATAACTCTAATTTATTCAATTGTATGACGTTTTTTCTGCATCTATATAGGAAATAGTGTTATTTTTTGACACATATTTAAAGAAACATGATCTTCTGTTAGAGGCACTAGTTCGATTATATGGAGTAAAAACCAATTGCAGTAGTTTGGTAGTCTGGTGTACGAAAGAGCAACTTTTTTGAAGAAGTTTCAACATTTCTAAGTTTCTACACCTTTATATAAGAAAATGCTTCACTTTACTGTTTTTTTTTCCACTTGTATGTTGTTTTTTTTCTGTCACTATATAGGATACAGGGTTAAAATTTGACATATGTTTGATGAAACAGTATCTTCTGTTGCAAGCATTAAATCGACAATCTCATTTAAAAACCTATTGCAATAAAGTGGTAGTCTGGTGTACAAAAAAGCAATTTTTTCAAGGAAGTCTCAACTCTTCCCAAATTTCTACACCTCGATAAAAGAAAATGATAAAAGTCACGATAAAAGAAAAAGTTGCAACTTATTGTTATCACCAAAAGAACTCTAATTTGTTCAACTGTATATCGTGTTTTCTGCAGCTAGAAATACACAGGAATTTAGTTTGACATCTGCTTGATAAAAACAGTATCTTCTGTTAGAGACAGTACTTCGATAATCTGGAGCAAAAGCTTAGTAGTCTCCAGTACAAAAGAGAAACTTTCTCGACGAAGTTTCAACTCTTCCCATTATCTACTCCTTTGATGCAAGAAAAGATTTCAACTCATTGTTATCACACAAACAACTCTAATTTATTCAATTGTATGACGTTTTTTCTGCAACTGTATAGGAAGTAGTGTTATTATTCGACATAAATTTGATGAAACAGTATCTTCTGTTAGAGGCAGTATTTCGATAATCTGGAGTAAAAACCTGTTGCAATAGCTTTGTAGTCTGGTGTACGAAAGAGCAATTTTTTTGATGAAATTTCATCATTTCTAAATTTCTACACCTTGATATAAAAAAATGTTTCATATTACTGTTCTCACAAGAACAATTTTATTTTTTCCCTTGTATGCTGTTTTTTTCTGTCGCTATATAGGACACAGGGTTAAAAATTGATTCCATGAAACAGTATCTTCTGTTTTAGGCATTAGTCTCAATTAAAAAT